CATTCAACAACATCTCTATCATCACACGGTAGTAATTCATCACTTTCATCCTTAGTTTTGTCTATACCACGATTTTCATTAAATTCAAGCAATGATTTAGTAACAAATGATAATCAATTATTAACAAATCAAAATCAAAAACGACATTCAATAGAACATGCATCATCATGTAAAATATGTCATAAAACTAATTTAACAAATCCATCTAATACATGTTCTCAATTACGTGATAGTCAAATAGTAACACGATCGGAATCATTACCAACTAAATCAACTCATGAAAATACCGATGATCAACGGGAAAGATCACAATCATTTAATGTTGAAGATACACAGAAAGAATATAAAAAATTAGCAGCGATGAAAAAAAATAAAAAACAATTAAAACGTCAATGTATCATGCGTTTAGCTAATTTATATCAACGAACTGAACATTCTACAGAATCACTTCCATATGGATCTTGTTCATCTACACTACCAGGTTTATCTCAAGTTCCTACTCAATCAAAACATTCTATAGAAACGAAATCACGTTCACCACCACCTCCTGTTCCATCTCAAGTTGTACATCTTACACCAGAACGTATTAATTATTACAAACAACGACAAATTGAATTAGATCGTAGTGTTAAAAAGCTACTCGGAAGTTTTACAATGAAAACAAATGAAAATATAAATCAAATAAAAAAATATTGGTCTTATTTAAAAAAAATATCTTTAGATAAAATCCAACCGAAACCAACAGAAAATTTTTCATTATTTCATTATTTGTCAAATTTATCTCATACAGATAAACAATTTGAATCTTATCTTGAAGAACATGATGAAATTCAAGCTGCATTGCATATTCTAATTAGAATATTAACTATTGTTAATGAAAAATACTCATTTTCAACAATTAATCATCTATTTGATTATGTAGAAAAATTAATGTTAAAAAAATTAACAACACAATTGGAACATTTAGTTTCACATTATAATGATGAAATATTATTTATTCATGAACGTATTCATTTTTATCAAACTCCTATTGATGGAAAGAAAAATTTCGATTGGGTACAATGTATTAAAGTTGATTATCCAATGTTAATAGAAAATATTGCAGATGATTTTATTTTAAAAGTTCCTAAAACTGATCAAATTCTTCTTGATATGCTTAAAACTATGAAAAAACATTTGCTTTATTTTAATATAGAAAATAAATGACTGATTTTTAATATAAAAACAAAACATCAACTTACTTTTCGATAAAGATCATTTTCAATTTGTTCTTTTATATCAACTGTTCGTTTAACTGTTTCAAGAGCTTTATGTAATTGACCATCAATACGTTGAATTTCAGTTCGTTTTTGTTCATTGGCTGATCGTAAAATTTCCATTTCATTAATGGTATAATCCATTATTTTAGATAAAACCTAAAAATCATCAGAGAATAAATATTTCGAAAGAAAGCAAAAGGATAAATTACCTCATCATTAGGTCGTTCTTGAAGTTCAATACTACCAATGATTTTCAATGAACTCAATGCTTCAATTTTTTCTTTCCAAATAAACTAAAAACAAATTTAAATAAAACTTTCGTTGTCTATGAAACAGGCATTCACACTGTTACATACTTCAAGACGATTTTTATCCAACTTTTTGCAAGTAAATACATAAGTTTTTCCATCGACGTTTGTATTATTTCCTTTTGAAAAAGCACGTTGTGTATGTGGATAAAATGAGTCATTTGATTCTGATGGAAATTTCTTTGCTAAAATTCGAACATGTTCTTGATCAACTAAAATATTTCATGTATATATATGAGTAATAATTCAAATAAAATACTTACGAACTCCTACCCAACTAGATTTAAAATTAGTTAAATGTATTAAAATTGTATGATTTTGTTCATCAATTGTACTTTTCATATAATATTTTTCATTACTGTCATCAGTTATTTTAATAAAATAAATAAATTCATCATTTGTCATATATGCCATTTTCGATAATCTAAAATAATCAGAATATGATTATTTATGTGCTCATTATTAGGAAATTTCATAAAAATTGTAAGAAGGAAGAAATATGTAAACTTCTAATGATTCGTCATATTGTATCGTCAATTAAATCACCTGTACAGATGTCGCATAAAAACATAACCGAAATTTAATTGATTGATAATTGCGTATGAAATTATGAATATGAAAAATATTTACTTCGACGTTTTCATTTATTAGTAATATATTTTTGATACGTGTACGGAAGCGAAATATAACATATGGAGTCTCTTCTTAATATGGAACGTTTAAAAAATATAACACATTCTGTTGTTAATTCAAGTTTTGAAAATCAAACTTTAAATGCTGGAATTAACAAAGCTCAAAATTGGTGGAAAAATCATCAAACTCATAATATATCATTACCGATCGTTCAAGATACATCACCCTCATCTTCAAGAGTTGATCATCATTCTGGACAACTTATAGTAACTATACTTTGTGCAGAAGATTTGTATGAATCACGATTATCAATGTTTACTGCATCAACACCGGTATTAGAACGTCCCTATGTTATTATTGAATGTAATCATCAACGTTTTCAAACAAAACAAGCTGATTCTATTTCAACAAATCAAAATCCACAATGGACAGACGATAATGGACCATTTTATTTCGATAGAATCAATCCAGATATTGATCATTTAACTATTTGGATTCAACAAAAAGATACTCTTCATGTTAGAAAACATAAACAAACAAAAACATTAGGAATGTGTGAGGTTGATATTCGAAATTTAATTGATCAAGAACAAATTTGGTTACCATTAAAAAAAGATAATAAACCAGTTGGACAAATCCTATTACAAGTTGCCTTTATTTCGCAAGAAAAATAAATGATCTATAAAAGCATTTTTGTTTTCTTTCAATTCAATAAAACAATATCTATATCGACAAAAATAATAATATTTTCGAAATTGAATAACTCTTATATATTGAAAACTTTTTATAACTAATATTAATATATATATATAATATATGTCTCCTTATATGAAGTTTATATTTTGTATCATGATGGTGAATATCATATTTAATCAGTTTGCATATATGTCAACTGTCTATGTACTATGTTATGTAGAATAGATTAAAAGTTGTTTGGAGTGGAGTTTGGTCATGTTTTTGTTCTGCCTTTACTGGTTACCATATGTACGAACTCAACGGATGGATTTACTTTCAAAAACTAAAAGTCTTGAATCACATAGATATTTTTTATCTTATTTTTGAGAGTAACAGATATTATCCTATAGCTGAATGTTTTCTACTTTTTGATGTGGATGTGAGTCAAGCAGTAGTGAAAATAATACTCATATTCTCACGTGATTTTTCTCTGAAACAGTTGAATTAGATCTGATAAAGAAATTATCAAAATATTTATTTGAATTTCTTTGAGAAATAAAACAAATCAAATGAAAAAATTTTCCTTTCATCAAAAATCTAATTTGAATTTTGTATCATTTACAAAACTTTGGCTGCTTTTTGATTGTGTTTCAATTTCTTTATTTGTTTTTTTGTATCTAAATGAAAATCTTTTAAAATTTCTTTTGTTCAATAGAATTCATTTGAATTCGATTTTTATTATCAAGTTTTCATAAAACATCTCTTTTCTCTTCACTTTTGGAATAATTCTCAAATTTCGTCAAATAAAAATATTCATATAGAATTTTCTTAAGCGCAAAATCTTTTTTTCAAATGCAGCTTAAATCACAAAATAATTTCTTTTCTTATCTCCTGTACAATTCAATGAAAATCAACAAAAGATGAAGAATTTAACATTTATTTATTGGAACTTTTTAATCAAAAACATCAAACTAAATTCAGGTATGAAGAAAAAAACAAAAACACTTTTTTTTGTTGTTTTCTTATCAATAAAAGTCTTCTTCTTCAAATTTTATTAGATTTTTTCTTTTATATTTATTTCTCCAGTTTTTATTCAACAAAAAATTTCTTTTCTTTTCTTTAAAATCAAAATTTCATTTACAAGATTATTTCTAACTTTTCAATTCGATCATTTTCATTATCAACAATATAAAGATTTTCTTCATCATCAAAAGTTAAACCCATCGGAAGATCCAATTGATTTGGATGATTTCCTAGACCATTTCTACCAACAACAATTTCACCTTCTTCTTTTCCTTCACACCAACGCATTATTCGATCATTCCAAAAATCTGCCACATAGATTTGACCCAAATGATCAACAAATATTCCTTGAGGATTAGACAATTGATTGAGATTTCTTCCTTCACCATTTCCTCCAGCCACAATTTTTCCTTCTTTTGCACCTTTTCTCCATTTCATCACACGCTCATTGTCTCTATCTGATACATAAACAGTTTGATCTCCATCAACAAAGATGAAAGTAGGATAATTGAGTTGATTAAGTTGACTTCCTTGTCCATGTCCGCCTGCCACTACAATTCCTTCATTGTTGTATTCACCCATTTTCCATCGTCTCACTTCATTCTTCTCCAAATCAGAAACATAAAAAAATCCATATTTATCTATTGCCAAGCCACGACAGCCAATATTGTTAATGAGAATTTGTTGTTGCTTTTGATTCATCCATTGAATCACTCGGCGGTTCACAAAATCAGCAATGATGATCGAATGATTTTGTTCATCAACAATCACATCTGTTGGATTATTCAATTGATTCATTTGATTTCCTTTGCCATTTCCACCTGCAACGATTTGTCCTTCTTTTGCATTATGTTTCCATTCAACAATACGATGATTATAACAATCAACAATGAAAATATTTTTCTTTTGGTCAATAAAGATCCCCTGAGGAAAATGGAGTTGATTTAGTTGTTGTCCTTCTCCATTTCCGCCAGCCACAGTGATGGCATTTTGTTTCCATTTTGATTCTAAAAAAGGATGAAAACAAAGATTTTTATGAAAAGAAGAAGAAAATTTTGTTTTTCATCAGAGAAAAAAAAAGAAAAAAATAGTTTTTAATGAAACTTTGAATTTTTTTTTGTGAAAGTTCTATTCTGAATGAAGTTTTGATAAAAACGTTTAATGAAAAGACATATTTTATTTGATATTTTCGTTGAGCTTCGGAAAAAAACTCTACTGAAAAAAGAATTTGAAATTTATTGTTTTCTGAATCGAAATTGAGAAGACAAAGAGTATTTGTATTGAAAGATAGTTTTATATTTGTGAAAACAAATTGACAAATATTTAATTTGAAAAGAAAAGAAAAATGGAAAAAAAGAAAAGATTTTGTTGATTTACTTTTTGTGAAAGAGAAATGTGAAGATAACCTAATTTTGTTTTTACCACTCAAACATATTTTTTTGAATCTTTGAAAAAAAATTTTTTTACTTTAATATTATTTCCTATTTTATCATTCTTTTATTTTTCATAAAAAATAAATTGAATTTTCTATTTCTATTGATTCTATTATTATTGACTAAATACATCAATACTATTCTCAATTGTTTTCATCTTCATCGTCACTTTTCTTTGTTTTTATAGTTTTTCAGCATAAACTTATAAAAAATGAAAACCATTTTTTCTGAAATGATTTAGAAAAACTTACTTTTCGATGAAATAATTGAAATTTCATTTATAAATGTTTGTGAGTTTTGTTGAATAAAAATCGTTGATGGATCACTGAATTCTTCTGTAATTTTTCTTAGTTGATTTTTTAAATAGTTTAAGTTAATTTCATTAAAGTCATTTTCTTTATGAAATTGTTTTATTTGTTCACTTAAATCATTAAGTTTCAATTCAGTATCATTAATAAATCTTTGTGATGATTTAATGACAGTTTCTCTACATTTTTGGGCTTTTTGTTGAATTTGTTCAATTGAATTTGTTTCCCATTGATTAATTCGTTCTATTAATGAATGATTTTTTGGATTTTGTTCAATAGTTTTTTGTTTAAACTGATCACAATCATTAATAATATGATTTAGTTCATCATTTAACATTTGTTTATGTTCTGATAAATCAGTAAAACAAAATCTTTTTGAACATCCTTCACAAGGATATGTTATTTTTTCTTTCTTGCATTTGAAACATTGTGTTTTATTGTTTGCCATTGCCATGTCTTTGAATGGTAGAAGAAATGAATAATCTATTTATCTACTTTTATAAATATAAATTGAATAATTCAATGACAATAAAAACGTTGTTCACTACTAGAAGAAATCGAAAAAAAAGTTTTCTTGTAGCAACAGTTACTAATCGTTAGAAAATTCCACTGATGAAACTGATATAATATCTAAAATGGTTGGATAAAAGTTGAAAATCGATTTTATTTTAATTTAAGATGGTTAGTTGAAATTGTCGTTGCTGATTGACTTATGATAGATTAAAATATTGGTGATATTTTATAAATATGAAAATAAAAGAATAATACTCCTCTGGTAATAGTCTTTGCTTCAGTGTCTTTGAAAATATATCATCCCATCACTGAAGAAAACGTTGGATAATTATCGACTAAACACACAAATACAAATGAAAGAAAAAAAACAAACTTAAATATGATATTTTTTCTCTTCCTTTTTTCCCTTTTGAAAATAACCTTGACAAGCGATTTTTTCATTGCGTCATGATTTCTGTGATGTAAAGTAGCGTTATATGATGACTTGATGTATCTGTTTTTTTTCTATGCTTGACAAAATTTCGACAAAGAAAGGTAAACGAAGAAAAGGAATATACCAACATCGAATCATTATTTTTTTCATTCATACATGCTTCTGTTTTCGAAATACACGTTCGAAATACGAAAATAAAAAAAACTACATGTTCGTAATACAACAAAAAAACAGTTAGTTAAGTTGGAATATTCCTCATCAGAATGAGTTCATAGATAAGATAAAAGGAAAAAACCAACAAAAGATTAAGCCATATGACAGAAAAGAAATAGAAATAGACAGATAAAATTATCTAATCCATTAAAATTCTATTAGATTATCTCCTCGATTTTTTTAGTTCTTGAAATATTTTGATCAATTATGAACATGAGTAAACATAAATCTAATCGAACTCCAACTCAGATTCCGATTCCAGATACCGAACATACGAGAAACTTTTGATCTAGAGAATAACATTGAATCTAACATAATTGTGAACAATTCGTTAATTCAAGGAAGACAAGCTTTATAGAGTTCGAAAAATGGCACATCATACTGAATGTCGATCGGCAATAAATGATATAAGATTAGAATGAAGTAGTCGAAACTTTGGACAATTATTTTTGTCCATTATTGATGAATTTATTTAAACAAAAGAATTTGAATATTAATCAATCAGATTTAATTGAACACGCTCTAAACTGTTTCATTAATTATGGATGACGGAATGGTTCACAAGATCAAAGAATTAATTCATGGACAACTTTCATCAGATAAATTTCAAAGATTAATTGAAAGTTTACCACCGCTTTCCAGCTCACCTTTATCGACTGCATCCTCGCTGCGCAAAGAAATGAATCTGAAATAAACTTCAAGAAAATAACTGTAGCGAAAGATGCATATGAGATTATTTGTCAAAATGATGAGTCTCTTCCAATACCATCGGATACTGTTGTTTAGGATAGATATGAAGAAGAACCAAAAGAAGAAAATTGACTTATTTTAAAGTTCATAAATAAAAAGAAAAAATTGCAGTTATCAAATTTAGTCGAAGTTGGTGAAATAATAAGTATGAATAAAACGATACAAGATTATCAACTTAATTGTAAATTCGCATTATTTATCAATAATTATTTTCTGCCTCTTTTTTATTTATTCAAAAAGATATCAAAATCTTGATGATTTCATTGATACTTATTACTTCGACCAAACGTATCCTTACTACAAACGACTCGGATTATCATTTTTAAGTAAATAAAATCTAATTCCATTTATTCAACTATTCACGCGATTTTTTTTCCATATTCTTAATATTCTTTTCAACAATCAGTGTCAAGTCTTTATTTTCAAAATACAACTAATGTTGAGTTTAAATGTCATCTTTTACCTCAAAACTCAACGCGAATATTGCTTATGCTCATGGGTCAATGACACAACCAATATTAAAACTATTAATTCATTAACTTTTCTATGGATTTCTTAAATTTCATTAATAATAGTCGAAAAATATTGATTATTAATTATTCGAGATGTTTCAAATCAAAATTAGAATGAATTTCACAATATTAAAACATTTATTCTACTAAATGTTTGTGATTATAACAAGAAAAGAGAACAAGAAATTATATAACTACATTAAAATTATCAAATATCACATCAATCACTAAAAAACATGTGTCAACCATAAGAATGAATTATATATAAGCAATATAATCCCTCATTAATATTAAAATTATTTTTCTGAATATCTTTCAATGAGAATATGTAAAAAAAAGTGCTCAAAACATATTATTCTAAGCATTTGTTTTGAGGTTTTTCTCAAAAATAATCGTTTTGTTGTGGATCTTGCAGTGTCATATATCAATTATTCTTCGAAGTTTTAATAACATAAAATATCATGCTGATCGATACTGAAGGTTTATTAGATAGTGACATGGGAAGTAAATAATGGGATCATTAAATAGTTCTCTTTTGTTTAACTGTTTCACATTTTGTAGTTGTCAATGTGATTGATGAAATTAATTCTAAATTACAAGATAAGTTAAAATAATGTGCAAATTTTTTAGCCAACATGCAAGCTACTATTATTTCAATGATTTTACAATTTTAAAAAAGTTAAATTTAGGTTCATTAATAAATATTGAATTAGAAATATTTCATCCATTTCCAACAGTCTATAGCAAAAAAAAGGACTAACAATAAAATCGATGATAATATCATTAAAATAAATAAAAACAATACCAGATTTTATTGAAAATATTCAACTATTATCTCAAAAAATCTTTAATTCAATTACAATCTTTGAAATATTATACAAATCTGTTGATTTTGACTTCTCAGAGTATTATGATAAAGAACAGTTTCGAGAATTAATCGAAAATATCATTGGAAATTAAAGCTTGATGCCATGTTTAACTGCTGAGCAAGAATTCAAACTCAATAATATATCAAAAATTCAAACAGAATTTTCTAAAACACAAAATCTTCTTTTCAAACAATTTTTAGTTCAAAGTCAGTTCAAATTACAAAAAATAATTTCTTTTCTATCTTCTGTAAAATTCAACAAAAAATAGCAAAAGATGAAGAATTTAACATTTATTTATTGGAACTTTTTAATCAAAAACATCAAACTAAATTCAGGTATGAAGAAAAAAAACAAAAACACTTTTCTTTGTTGTTTTCTTATCAAAAAATTCCTTTTTCTTCAGATTATTTCAAATTTTTGAATTCGATCATTTCCCCAATCAGCAACATAAATATTTCTTTCATCATCAAAAGATAGACCATGGGGACTATACAATTGATTCGATTGATTCCCTTCACCATTTCCACCAACAACAACTTCACCTGCTTCTTTTCCTTCACACCAACGCATTATTCGGTCATTCCCCCTATCTGCCACATAGATTTGACCCAAATCATCAACAACTATTCCTTGAGGATAAGACAGTTGATTGAGATTTCTTCCTTGACCATTTCCTCCAGCCACAACTATTCCTTCTTTTGCATCTTTTCTCCATTTCATCACACGATCATTATTTCTATCTGTTACATAAACAGATTGATCTTCATCAACAAAGATATAAGTAGGACAATTGAGTTGATTAAGTTGGTTTCCTTCTCCATTCCCACCTGCAACTACAATTCCTTCGTAGTTGTATTCATCCATTTTCCATCGTCTTACTTCATTGTTCATATAATCATTAACATAAAGAAATCCATGTTTATCTATTGCCAAACGAGAACAGTCAATATTATGAATGAGAATTTTTTGCTTTTCATTCATCCATTGAATCACTCGTCTATTATCACGATCAGCAATGATGATGGAATGATTTTGTCGATCAATAATCACATCTGTTGGTCGATCCAATTGATCTATGCGATCTCCTTTGCCATTTCCACCTGCAATGATTTGTCCTTTCTTTGCATCATGTTTCCATTCAACAATACGATGGTTATAATAATCAGCAATGAAAATATTTTTCTTCTTATCAATAAAGACTCCAAGAGGGCCATTGAGTTGATTTAATTCGTCTCCTTCTCCCTTTCCACCAGCCACAGTGATGGCATTTTGTCTCCATTTGTTGGATTTTGGTTCTACAAAAGAATGAAAACAAATGATTTTGGTGAAAAGGCGACTATAAGTTTCTTTGAAGTAATAGAAAAATATCTTTTTAATTCTAAATACTAAAAAAGATTTTGAATTTTCTAAATTATCAAAACTTTAATATAAAATACCTAAAGTGATGAAATTCTAACAAGATGTTTTGACTAAGTATTTGATTTTTCCCAAAAAAAATTAATACAGTTTCAAAATGATTCAGTTTTGTTTTTAATTTAATATTTTTTCGTATCTGATTATTGTTTTCTTGTACATAGAGAAAAATTTATTTTTCTATTTCTATCAATTCTATTATTATTGATTAAATAAATTAATAGTATTCTCTATAGCGTTTATCTTCTTCGTCATCACTTTTCTTTGCTTTTATAGGTTTTTAGTGTAAGTTCATAAAAAATGAAAATCATTCTTAGAAATTATTTAAAAAGACTTACTTTTTGATGAAATTACTGAAATTTCATTAATAAATGATTGTGAATCTTGTTGAATATACATATTTGATGGATTATTAAATTCTTCTGTAATTTTTCTCAGTTGGCTTGTTAAATGATTTAAATTTATTTCATTGAATTCGTCTTCTTTATGAATTTGTTTTATTTGTTTACTTAAATCGTGAAATTTCAATTCGATATCATTAATACATGTTTGTAAAGAGCTAATAACAATTTTTCTGCATTTTTGTGCTTTTTGTTGAATCTTTTCAATTGAAGTTGTTTCCCATTGATTAATTTGTTTTATTAATGAATGATGATGTGGATTTTGTTTTTGTTCATGAATTGTTTGTTTAAATTCATCATAATTATTAATAATACGATTTAGTTCATCATTTAATAATTGTTTATGGTCTGCTAAATCAGTAAAACAAAATCTTTGTGAACATCCTTCACAAGGATATGTTATTTTTTCTTTCTTGCATGTAAAACATAATGTTTTGTTGTTTGCCATTGCTGTCTTTGAATAGAAGTTTAATAGAAGAAATGAATGTCTCCTTATCTGCTTTTATAAATATAAACTTCATGACTCAATAATCATAAAAACATAGTCTGGCAATAGAAGAAATTGGGAAGAAATTTTTTTATGACAAAATCCCACTGATAAGACTAATGTGATACCTAAGATAGTTCTGTTATCGCTTCTTTTTGTTCTTTATTCTTCCTCTTTCATAAAACAAGAATCATCCGTCTCTTCACAATATTCACTCCTTAAATACTCAACGATACCAGTAGTACGTGAGGAAATGAAAGAGAATCAGCATTCTTTATGGCAAAGAGATATATCATGCCATAAGAAATCAGACTAAAACTAGATATTAATTTGTTTCTAATTTCCAATAAAAAACCAAACAATTTTTGTGATATTTCAATGTAGATTTTGATGTAAGTAAAGATTAAACATAGATCTGCACCTACACAACTTTATCTACCAGATGAATGGTACAGCAATCGCTTAATCTACTCAACTGCATTATCATGTTCACTTTTATCATCATAATCATCACTTTCGTTATCAAAATAGTTACTGTGTGATATTATTTTTCATATTATTTCAAAAAACGAACCTGCCAAAATGAAACTATTACAGCGAATTGAATTTTTAAACTTGTGATGTTTTGTAATTATTTCGATATACATAAGAGTTTCATAAATTTCTCATTTTGAATTTGTTTTTCATGAAATAAATTTTTCAACAAAAGAAAATCCATCGAAAATAAAAACGTTGATAAATATAATCTTTTAATTGAAAAAGAAATACGATATCGAAAT